GACATCGGATCCCTACTTACAAACGGGGTGAGGCAACTCCACACTAGCTGCTTCCCCCCAGCAGACCAGGGAGATGCGAAGCTAGCGCCCCCCCACCCCAGCAGACCAGGGAGAGGTGGAGCGGCTTTTCTCAGCAGACACTTCAGCTTGAGAATAAAGGGCTGAGGGAAGTGAGGTGTGGGAGAATAAAACTGAGCTCTGGAGAAATGTTTGGCTAGAGTTTCCCCTACAATATGTACCAGTTCCGACTTACATACAAATTCAACTTAAGAACAAACCTACAGTCCCTATCTTGTACGTAACCCGGGGACTGCCTGTATACCACCTGGCACATGATCTTTTTATATCCAGGTAGTATGTTAAAAAGCTCTCACTTGTATTTTCTAGTCATTCAGATAGTTCAGTAATAATCATTGCTTGAAACAAATCAGCCCAAAATTAGAGGATAAAGAGGTTTAGTCTTCCTGTCAACAGAAAAACATTTTGCATCCTCTTTGTCCTGCTAAGTAAACTAAGATTTGATTTGATTACTGGCTTTTTATATTTTAAGTGATCTTGTTTCAGAATCTTTCCTTCTTACATGTGATTTGACTTGTATGACAGAATAGTTTAAAAGCTAATTTAAACACAAGAACAAGTTTTTAAAAGTGTATATCATAGTTTAGTGCATAAAAATAAGTTTTTTCTGTTTATATTTTGTAGGAGATCACAGAAGAAAATATTTCTTCTGAAACAGCAGTTGGAAGATGCAATGGAAAAGGAGGTGGCAGCTCATCAGTATTTAGCAAATCTTATTAGCTTGGCAGAGAATGTAAGTCATGAACGTGACCATCTTATACATTTGGTGAGTTCTTTAGGGATATTTCTTATTTCCCTTTTTATTATGAAAAAAGCAACTGATTAATATTTTCAAATATAATAGTTTTTATGAGTAAACCGATTTGAGCATGTGAAAGAAAAAGCTAAAAAAAAAGTATAGATCAGTGCTAAAAGCAACTGTACTAATCCCAGCAGCCATGGTTAGAAAAAATAACAACAGATTTGCATAGAGTAAGAGTAGGGGTGGTAACAGTATATGGTCTGAGAGAGTTGAATTATTCCAGTCAAGGACTTGAAGGGCCCAGTTTTGTAAAATGTGCACATAGAAATAAGCCCACAAAAAGTGCTTCCATTTGTGCACCTACTTTTCACATGCAGCATAATTGTGAAAATAGACAGTTATGCATTTTGTTGTCCATTTGCTTTTAAAAATCACTAATTTGTGCTCATTTGTATGTGCTCAGTTTAGAAATATCAAGACATTCATCAAAACTTCCTATCTCCGCTCTGTTGGATTTAATGTATTTTAAGCCTGAGGCAGTGTCAAAACTATATTTTTTGAAAGAGAACTACCTGTGAAATCAGTAGAGCAAATATGGCATTGTGTCCAGGTGGTCTGTGTAGTCTAACTATGGGCAAGAACCAGAAAACTTGATGAGCACTGGGATGCTAATGGTCATGGAGAACACCTTGATTATTTTGATTTTTAAAGTGATATATATAACATCAACCCAATAAAGAGAACCAAAATGACAGTTATCCTAACTAATTTGTTCATCCAAAGGGAGGGTAGGGAAAATGGGGCAACTGTCCCAAGGCCCAGTGATTCAAAAGGGCCCAGGCTTCTAACCACTGCTGCTATTGTGGCCCTTAAATCATTGCTGGGTCCCCGTGCAGCATGCTCTGGGAGTACTGAGAGTTGCCTGGAGGGAAGCAATCCCTAGGCTTGCCCCTTCTGCCAGAGACCCCTGAGGTTATGGAGCTGCCCTCCCTGCCTTACCCAAGGGGCCAGCGAATCTGTTGGCCCCTCTCAGTACGTCTGCTCTTCTATCTAAATCTAACTCCTTGTTACATAGATTTCCTAATTATTGGAACTGATTATCAGGGTTTAAAAGTAATTGGTTCAAATAACCCAAGAAAAACAAGTGATGTAAGTATAAAGGGAGAAAACACTATGGAACTTGTTAGGTTTTTTTTACTTTACTGGTGACTGAAGACCGCACACTACAGATTATCTGGTTACAAGTATCAGTGTCATGTTGGTTTGTTGCTACTCCTAGATATGAAGATTACCATAATGATAGGGAAGTTAAGTTTACTCATCTGTAACCAGAGTTTGTATAGATGTGTTCTAGCGGATGCCACGAATATGAACAAGCAGTAGTGCAGCTATTCTGTTGGTACATCCCATGAGTGGGAATGCAACCCCAAACAAAAATACTTTAATCTTCAGATTGGCCATGAAATTCTGCCCCCTCAATTCAGAAAGGGCCTAGCCACCTCTGAACTAGATTACTGCAATAGTAAAACTGATGCAACCTCTGACATTACAACAAACAGTCATGAATTGCAGCAGTGCACCTAACATTCATCAGTGGCCAGTGTGAATACACCATTCCTTTGTTTCTTTATTCCATTTATTTTACAACAGAATTAAGTTCTGATCATACTCTAAAATATTCTTGCTGACTGGAGACCAAAATATTCTTTGAGTGATTATTCATGTCCATTCCCTGACAGATGTGTGCATGCCACATGTACTATTCCTGGAAATTTTTCCCTTAGTGGTATCCATTTGATTGGCTCTATTGCCCTTTGGAGTTGTGCACATACGTGCTAGTGTAAGGGGTGTCACAGATCCTGTCTCCTCTTCATTCCTTCTTACAGTCCATGACAGTTGCTGGAATTAAAATTCAAAATGATCTGGAGAAATTGGAGAAATGGTCTGAACTAAATAGGATGAAATTCAATAAAGACAAGTGCAACATATTCCACATAGGAAGGAACAATCACTTTCACACATCTAAGTGGGAGATGACTGCCTAGAAAGGAGTACTGTAGAAAGGAATCTGGGTGTCATAGGGGGCCATAATAAGAGTCAACAGCATAACACTGTTGCAAAAAATGCAAATATTCTGGGATGTATTAGCAGGAGTGTTCTAAGACATGAGAAATAATTCTTCTGCTCTACTCTAGGGATGTAAGATCCATCCATCCCCTACAGTTGCTGCCTTTATATGAGAGGCAGCAAGGGTAGGAGAAGCAGGAGCCGGTGCTGGCGGGAGCCAGCTTAAAAGCTGGTTTCCCCCCAACACTGTCTCCACCTCCCTATTACTGCCTCTGATATAAAGGGAGCAAGGGTTGGGGATGGAGGGCATGATATAGAGGCAGCAAGGGGCGCTGGGGGGCTGCTGCCAGCTGGGCAGGCAGCCCGGCTCAGTTCTGGCTCATGCCAGGACCAAACCCCACTGTGACTCTGCAATTTAAAAGGCAGTAGGAACTAGGATCAGCACATCAGTCAACTCTGAGCCAACTTCTGGGATACTGCCTGTGATTCTTCTAGTATGGAATTGACATGAACAAGCATTTGAAGGAGTAAAAACTGTTACTAATCTTTTGTAGCTTTTGTTCTTAGACATGTGTTATACATGTCTATTTCATTGCCCGCCGCGGTGGCATCTCTGCCAGGCATGCTTCCAGGCGGCTGGGCTAGATCCAGTGGGCACAAGGACTCAAAGAGAAGGCCGGACGCCATGCACACCGACGCAGAACGCCCGGCCCCAGATGCAACCATTACCCCCTCTTCTATCCCTCTGCTGGAGCTACAGCAAAAAGGGGGCTGAGAAGGTGTGGGGTCAACAGCACCCCTTATACTGGCAAATATCTGCACAATTTCAGAGGACATGAGAGCCAGCTCAGTGGATACCACTAATGGAAAATCTCCAGCTACAGTGCACACGCAGCATGGAATATATATAAGAAACACATCTCAATTGTAACAACAATTACAAAAAGTCAGTAACAGGTGCTTCCCCAACCCCCAAAGACTTGTCACCTTCCATAATCCTTCAACTGCAACTATGAGACGACTACAATTCTACAAGGACAAAGTGGCCAGAAAAGCCCCTTAGATTTCTAGGCATTGAAGTTAAAACTATTTTTGATTACAGGAATCCACCGATGGATATTAAACAATATGAAGTCACATTTTGTGAAGTGGGACCAACATGAGAAAGACCTTGAGCCAAATGATCAGTTGCTTTGATGTTACTTCTTTGATAGTTCTCAGGATGCTCTCTCAGGATTGCCAGTGTCCTTTATAACCTTCATACCCCTTCCTACATAATAAAAGTGACATAACTATATTTTTTTCCTATTTTGGGTTCTGTTGGCATTTTGACATTTTAAAAATAAGAATTGAAATTGTATTTTCTTAATACGTTGAATCACAGTTATAGCGCACGAAAATTTTTCTGAGGACCAGTATTTTTTTTCCTAAGGACCGATACTGGGCTGTGGACCACACTTTGGGAAACGCTGATATAGCATATAGGGATATAAGTGACTAATCGACTAGTTGCTTCCCTCCTTTCTCCCCCACTGCTGCCTCTGTCTCTTAAAAGCCAGTTCCCCCCAGCTCCAGTTGCGTGAGAGAGAGCAGGGTGCAGCGACAGCCAACTTTGAAATGTACAAGAATCCCTTCTGGGGCTCTTGTGCATTTCCAAGTTAGAATGCCGCGTGGAGACTGAAGCCAGCGGGACTCTTGTGCATTTCAAAGCAGAAGTGCTGCATAGAACCTGCTGGCCCCGGGCTCCATGCTGCGTTCCAACTTTGAAATGCACAAGAGCTCCTGCTAGGGCTGTTTTACATTTCAAAGGTGGAATGCGGAAGTTCTTATTGACTAATTGAATAGTCGATTAGTTAATTGAAATTTAACATTCCTAGTTGTAATATATATTTTCAACAAACAGTAATCTTTAAAAAAAATTAAATTGTGAATTTTAAGTGGCCAGTGGAATTGTGTGTCAGAAATTAAAGGTGGTTTTGCTTACACATACAAATATTACCTTGGTTACAGTAATTCAAACTTTTTGTCCTAAAGGCATATAAAAATAAAGTGTTTCAATATTTATCTTACATTGAGTTGCAGGAAAAATGCTCATATTTAAAACAATTTCTGAAGTTTTATTACATTTGACATGAGAGCAATTTAAACAGCTGATAGGAAAAAGCAAACATTTAGTAATCAATGAATGTTTGTTTGGACTATTACTCCTACCATGCTTTTGGGGGAAAGGAAAGGTTTCCCTTCTAAAGTTTTCTTCTGATTGTTCTATTATGGCAGGGGTGGGGTACCTAAGGCCCTGGGGCTGGATGCAGTTCCCAGCTTGCCTGGATCCAGCCCCTGAGGCTTGGGCTTCCCCACAAAGGGCCATGTTAGGGAGAGTTTGGTTGCTTCTCACTTGTGTGAAGCCCCCAACTAATTTTTCTGTGGGTCAGCTGCCTCCTATTCAAAAAAGTTTCTCCACCCCCATATTATGGAGACAGGTTTTGCTCGTCCATAACACTATGCTCTGAGGTCCTTTTCATTTCTGATTCAGGAAGCATGGCTTCATCGGAGCAGTGCTTCCCAGGCTTCCTTTACCAATAGTTGCTCCTGGAAGTGCTGATGAAGTGGGTTCCAACAGTGCTAAGTTGGAGCTACAGAAAAGCAAATGTAGTTTGGAGGTTGTGTTAGATTTCCTTCAAGAATTGTGTCTGTGGTGGTCCAATGAGTTGCTTGCCCTAGCTTGTCCTATTCCCACAGAGAAAGGAAGAGATTTATGTGCAGAGGTATCTAAGGGAAAACCAGCCTTCCCCCCCCCCCCATAGCATTTGCTAAAAGGTCCTGGTCCTGCAAGTACAAGTAAAATGTACACACACTTTATTGTGTTCGGGATCATTGTTTTGATAAACTACAATCCAGTCGCAGTATAAAAAGTTAGTAACAAATTATTTAAAATAATTTTGTTTGGGTAATAGTATGTGGTACCTGCATCATAAAATAAAATAAAGAAATGATTTTTGACAGCTACTAACACTGGATTATATCTTAACACTAAGTAAAAAAGTCATTCACTGAGCACAAAGCTCACATGTTTTCGTGATGTTGGTGAGTTTTGATTTTCTGTGAAGGGAATTGTTTCTCTGGAGCAGACAGGAGTGATGTATGTACTTTACATGTAGTCAAGCATCACTAATTCTAACCCAGTTATTTCTCTTTTGAATATTGTCAGTGGATTTTAAAAGTTTATAATTTTAGGGAGGTATTAAGATCTTTTCAATATTTGTAGTTTATTCATTTTTTTGTTTTCTTTTAAATCTGTGGGGCTCCCTACACAGCAGCGTTATTTCGGAATAATTGACTTATTCCAAAATAACAGTCTGCATCTAACCAGCAAGCAGTTATTTCAACATAATGTCAAGTAGGAGGACTTCTTACTTCAACTCCTGTAACTCTCATTTTACGAGGAATAAGGGAAGTCAGAGGAGAACGTTCTAACTCAGACTTCCTTCTGAGTAGACAGCGCCAAAAGCCGAAATAAGCTATTTTGACAAACTACAATTGATGTAGCTCAAGTTGCATAGCTTATTTTGGCTTTAGCCCTGCTGTGTGGATGTGCCCTAAGTGAACTTAGTGTTTACAAAAGTGATGGATTCATAACAGTAAACTGAGCCAAATGTATAAAACTAAGACAATGCATAAGCTTCCCAGTGACCTGCTATTTCAAGGGCTCTTTTCTGTTCAAGCAGGACTCAAATAGGGATGTTAAAATTTGTGTAATTGACTAATAGTATAAATGCTGAAAAATTCAGCAGTGGCATGCGGAGCAGCAATCAACTCCCCCGGGAGCCAGTGTTTTTCGGGAGCTAGCTTTTAAGAAAGCCATTGTTGCTGATTTTAATTCTTTGAGGTAGCAGAATGTATGTACCCTTTATGCAACTGGATAACCCTTTCTGGGGTCTGGGCATCAGAGCTGTATTAGCAGATACTGGTCCAGATCTTGTGTGCATCAAGCCACTCATTACAAATACAGAATTAGTAGAGTGCTAGGGAGTTGTTTTTCTGCATCTTCTACTTTTCTCATTGATTATCACTGTAGTAGTTAAAATTTTAGTAGTTTTGCATCAATATTGACTGAAATATTACTGGAAGCTTTTACATTACATATGACTACAAACTCAGTTCACTGACATTTAGACTCCCCTCAAGATGAAATATGAGCAAGCAAGCAAATAATTCTTTTGAAGTCAGTGAACCGGGTGCACAGGATTTTTTTAAACAATGAAAGCCTAAGTACCATAATTAGTTATTTTCACTGAGTTCTAGGGTATAGTTGGTGCCACAATAGTTAAAAATGTGTCAACATTTTCATTAGAAATCTTTGTATTTCTGAGGTCTCAGCCTAAAATGATTTTATAAAAAATTATTTTAGTAGAGCAGTGCCAGTTTGCATCAGCTGCTGATCTTGCCAGTATCTTTTTTTAAAAATAAGTTCCTCTTTGTATGGCCTAAGCACATTCCCACTCTTGGGCTCACTCTGAGGATATGAAGGGCTGGAAGAAATCTAAGAGTGTGGATGTACAGAGGTCATCTTGTAGAACTCAGGTTCCAGGTGAGTAACTTTCATTTAGTGAACAAAACACATTTTTCTACCTTTTTATTGTGTGCACTATATATGAATATTTTGACGGTAATATAGCCTATTTAATTTTAATAACTCTGAAGAGATCTGACTGGTTTTGGTCTCACCCTGCATCAAAAAATATCCTTTGTACCTGCAATCCTGTATGTCTGATCTTAGCAAGAGGAAAATTTGGGCAAAGTTTAGCGTGGTGAAGTTTTGGACATTTCTGAGAAATGGCACTTTGAAAAATAAGATACGTTTCACCAATTGATTTCTTTGTAGAAATCTGTTAAAAGGTGGTGTAGAAACTTGACAAATTATTGTTAACAGTTGTGGATTAAACTTATTCTTATTTCTCAAGAATCAGTAAATATATAAGGAATGACACAAAGAGATACAATCTCTGCCTATACAACTGTCCAGTCCTGATTTAACATGACATTGTACAGGTCAGAAATAGGCTAATGTAGGGGAAGAGGGAAAGGAAGGACAGGGGGATAATAGAGGCATGTATGCATCTTGATGATTTGGTTTGCTCCCATTTTAATTATTATTGATTGGTTACCTTTTTTGCTTTTAGTAATTGTGATAGAAATAGGTCTGTAAGAGAGGTTTGAATGTGGTACGAAGTGGTTGGGTGGATAAATTTAAATAGGACATTACAAGCATAGCAGATAGGATGGACGATAGCATGAAATGCTTGGGGAGCATGCAACAATGGGAAATAATATTCTCAGATACTGTGCATATATGAAAGTAAGGAGAAATGACTAATGTTTTGATGTGCTTTGACAGCCTCAATATAAGATAATACAAGGAAAGATAATATATTCAAAGAAGTCCTTTTTATGTAATTCTGCCATTTTATCAGCATCTTACATCTACCTCTCTTCTCTGAAAAAAACTGCAACTGTAGGCTTTGTGAGAGAAACTCCCTTTTAGAAATGCTAGAAAGACATTTTCAAATTAGATATATAATAGACTTGCATAGTAAGAGCCTTTGTACAAAAAAAAAAATGCTGTTATGTTTGCAGGCTAAATGCTTGGAAAATGAGAAGCATGGAGTTCTCAACAAAATAATAGAAGGGAATGTACGCTTAGGAAAATTACAAGAAAAGATTAAGGTAAGTAGGCTTTGTAAATCAAGAATTAATTACCATTTCATCTCTATCAGTACTTCATACATATGGCAGTATATTTTTGTAAGAACATTTTATGGATATATTTTTAGAATGCATTTTAAAAGATAAATGGGATTTTTAGCATATTTTACACAATACAAATAAAATGTTCTTTTCTCTTGTATGTATACACCACTTTCTATACGCAATCATAGTGTTCTGATAATTTTTAGAAGCTATGGCAGGTTGTAGAATGGTAAAAATGTAGGACACATCCCAGCCTTTTAAAAATCTGTACTAATATGGTAAACTGAAATATAATCTTAAACTAGAGTATATTAAAATTAGAATTACCAGTATTGAGATGTATTTACAACTTCTATCAAGGTGCATTTAGATGACCCAACAACCCTCCAAAGACCCCCAAGCCTTACTAATGTGGTCCCAAATGTACTGATGGGAGCAAGGGACAGAATTCTCATGTATGAAATCAGGGCTTGAAGTACAAAAACTTGTTGCGAAATATCATAGAATACTACAACTTAAGGGCCTCGAGAGATCAAGTCCAGGCCCCTGCACTCATGTCTGGACCAAACACCATCTAGATCAGTGTTTCTCAAGCCTTCCTGCAACCTGCCCCCCTCCCCACTCCCTTCTCTCCCCTCTGTGCCCACTTCTCCAGTAGCCCCCCATCCTTGCACTCCCCGGCAGCCCTGCTTCCACCGGCCCCCCAATCTCCCCAGCCTGCCCCGATTCCCCCGTCCAGTGCTGCTTCCAGTGGCCAGCTCTCCCCTCCTCCTCACCCCAGAATCCCTTGGCACCTGCACCTTCCCTTAGCCCTGCACCCTCCTGGTGCCTCCCCCTTCCCTTACTGCCCCTTTGCCCTCTTTTTCCCTGATACCCACCCCCTCAGCACTCTCTGCCCCATTCCCCTCCTGCCCCTCTGTGCCCTCACACATGACTTGCTCCATCCCGGCCTCCCTCATGCCCACCCCTTCTTTCAAGCCTTCTCCCAGCACCTCCCCGTCCCCTCTCTAGCCCCCAATGCCTTTACCCTCTCTCCTCCCAGCATCACCCTGTCCCCCTCCCACTGACACCTCCCCTCCTTTTTCCTCATTTTCTGCACTTGGCCCCCTGGCATTTGTCTTCTCTACCCTGTCCCTTTGGTGCCTTCCCTTCCTCTCCTCCTCCGCACAAGCCCCTTCCACTTCCAGCCCTTCCCCTTCCCCTACCTTCTGCCTTCCACTTTGTGGGGCTAGAGTCTGCACTCCATCCCTGGACTCTGAACCCGCAACTCAGCCATGCAGCGCAACGCAGCGCCCAGCAGTTTTAAAATCCCAGGCCGTGATGTTACGTCATTCCTGGGCATCTCCCCGCCTACCGGTTTGAGCATGCCGTGCAGGGCGGCAGCAGCCAGCAAGGGGAAGCTCAGTGAAGGTTGCGCACGGCGGGGATGGGCACGGGAACGGGAGAGATGCTCTGGGACTGGGGTGGGAGGATGGATGGGGGGGGCTGAGCCCCGCTCCAGTTCCAAATATTGGTGGAGCATGGGCACCACGAGCCCATACAACTCACTGCCCGTGCCTCTGCTGGCTAGCTGGCTCTTTGTCTTTCAGAGGGGGCGGGGGAGTGCCAACTCCTCGCGGAACCCCTAGTTTTGCTTCGCAGAACCCCAGGATTCCCCAGAGCACCAATTGGGAAACACTGTCATAGAGTCTCTACTTCAGGCTGTTGAGCCCAGTGGTCTTCAAATTTTTTAAGCTCACGATCATTTTTTTAATGTAACTGGAATCCAGGATCTGCCTCAAACCCAAATAAACTTGCTCTTTCTCCTGCCCTGCACCTTCTCCAAGGCCCCACCCCAGCCTACCTGTTCTCCAAGGCTTTACCTTGCTCACTCCATGCTTCCTTTCTCTCCTACCTTCACTCACTTTCACCAGGCTGGGGCAGGAGGTTGATGTGCAAGGCGTGCAGGCTCTGGAAGGGAGTTGGGTGCAGGAAGGGCTCAGGGCTGGGGTAGGGGGTTGGGGTGCAGGAACTGTTTCAGGGTGCAGGCTGTGGAAGGGAGTTTGAGTGCAGGAGGGACTCAGGGCTCTGGCAGGGGTTTGGGATACAGGAAGGGTTCAGGGATGGGGCAAGGTTTCAGGATGCAGGTTCCAGCTGGGTACCACTTACCTTAGGAGATTCCCAGGTAGTGGCGCAGTGTCAGGGCTGGGGTAGGGGGTTGGGGTGCAGGAACTGTTTCAGGGTGCAGGCTGTGGAAGGGAGTTTGAGTGCAGGAGGGACTCAGGGCTCTGGCAGGGGTTTGGGATACAGGAAGGGTTCAGGGATGGGGCAAGGTTTCAGGATGCAGGTTCCAGCTGGGTACCACTTACCTTAGGAGATTCCCAGGTAGTGGCGCAGTGTTCCCCCCCCCCCCCCCCCTTTCTGCCTTCAATGCCTTCTCCACTACCTCAGACAGAGTTCTGTCAATTGGTCTGTTGAGATTTCCTCAACTTTATTTTTTTTTCTCCTCTTAATAGTTAGTTGTACTGTTAGTTTTAGTAATAGTATAGCTTCTTTTTTTGTTTTATCGTATTTAGAAAGATACTAGTTAGGTTGTAGTACTTTACTAGAATTTTTTGCCAGGTTTCTGGGCTTGAAATGTTGTCCGTCATGCTAGGAGGTGATCCCAGCGTAGCCAGCCAGAGTAAGTCTCAGGTCCGACACTAGGCTCTCCAGGTAAAAAATACGCCACACAGGTATCTGTCAAACACAAGTAGTTTATTTCCTGACAGCTAACAGCTGTGCCCCATAACTGAAAGAACAACATAACAAAGAAGCAGCATATCTTACGTCCCTTCGTGCAAGCCTGGGACCCCGGGTAGGTTGCAGACGAAGTGGGAGGTTGTCTCAGCTTCTGATGCACCGGTATCCAAAGCCCATCGGTGAAGTCCGATTTGCTAGGCTCTGAGGCAGCCTTAAATACAGTTTTCCCTGCCTTGTTTTACAGTTTGGAAATTTCCAGGGTTTACTCATTACATGCTGATGTAGGGCTTAGCTGTTAGTTATCGATCTGGTTCTGATCTGGATCTTATTGTTCTTTGGCCCTGTTTACGTGATCAGTACGTTAGGGTAAGCAGAATTGTTTATGCGTTCTTGCCCTTTACCCTCATCTCATACTTGTTCTTGCTATACTGGCAACAATGCTTATCTTAAGTAGCGTATGTTCCCAAAGACTTGCTTCTGGCTCATCAAATATAGGGAAAAGAGGGAAAGAATGCAGGCCTAACCACCCCCAAAGTAGTACGTACGAAGTTCTTCCGCAATTGACCACTACACCCAGTCAGCAATGAACACTCTTGTTGCGCCTGATGGTGCAGGGAATTTGCATGTGACCCAGAAGTGCACTAAAATCAAGAGGTAGAAAAAACAGAGAGAGATAAGGCTTAATCTTTTCATGATGGAGAGCTTTCTACACCAATTTTAGAGCCCTCATCTGCTAGTTTCCAAGCAAGTCTACTGCCTCTGTGATATCAGAGCCTCATGCCTCCAGTGTATTTAAGAGGAAGACACACCACTCTTCTCCTAAGCCCTTAAAACAGGGCTACTGCGATGCTCTGTTAGTTTGTGACCCGCGGTGTAGTTTGGCTTTATGCGGGGCTCAACACGCGGTCCATGGGTGGAAGCCAAAACAGAAAAGTAGTCAATATAATGGCCTCCTGTTGATATGTGTTTTGGTAGTTAAATTCCTGTACTGTCATTGCTCATTAAAGTGCTGTCATATGAGTGGAAATTGGGTAAATATTGCATTTTATTAATATCAGCAGAACTGACTTAAATGGGGCCTGCATGTTGTGTAGTCTTGCCTTAATCTTTATATTCATGCCTGTCAGTGTGAAAGAAGTTATTTGCATATATATTTGCACGTATATGGAATCACACTTAAGTTGTGGCCCTCAGCGTGTGCTGTGAGTATCCCTGTGGCCTCTGGACCTTCCAAGTTGGGTAGCCCTAAAAGAAAGTGCACTGGTTCACTGCGTAGAGAATCTACCTCTAAAATGCTAAGGTCTTTGGTATCTTCAACTACTCCAGTGCTATCACCTCTCCAGTCAGGCATGGCGAGACTGAAAAATGGCAAAGCCTTGGTCCCAGAGAAATCATTGTTTTGTTAATAGACCAATATGACAAGAAGAATTATTTCTTCTTCGAGTAGTGTCCACTGTAGGTGAAGGGTTGCCCTGAGCCGCAGATCGGAGCTTTGTATAGCAGTTTCCCCTGTTGAGCCACGCATGCCCAGGAGGCGTCTCGAGCCCTTCCTGCCTCCTGAGGAGCGTGACTCAACCCCCTCCCTTTCAGTTCCTCTTTAACTGCCCTCGTCAGTGGACGGAGCAGTCAGGAGCTCCCTGTCAGATTATCTGACTACTTTCCTCTTAGTTATTTAGGCATAGTTAGCTTCCCCTCTTTTATCCTAGTTACTCTTTCCTTGTTTCTTTATTAAAAAAAAACAAAAAAAAAACTAGAAATAGGAAAAATAAATTTAATTAAATCCCCCCCTCAGGGGGCTTGAACTTACCTCAGACCGGGACTCTGGTGAACCGGCTTTCTCTCATCTGTCAAAACAAGAAACACATAAAGACTTTAAAAAAAAAAAAAAAGAAGAAGCAAAACCACATAAACTATAACAATATAGAAGATAAATGTAATAATTTCAAGAGGGAGAGAGCCCGCAATGTCTGGCTCCTCAGGTTTTAAAAAGTGCGGTCAATGCCGGGACCCAATGCCGGCTTCAGATGGCCACTTGGACTACATACTGTGTTTGGGGGAGACCCACTGCAATTCCCTGACGGCGAGAGCCAGAAAAGACCGTGAGCTCCGCCTCAGGATGATTTTATTTGAAAAAGCTCTACAGCCTGCGGGAGAACAATCTGCACCGCGGCAAGAGCCTCCACCGCCTTCCAGAAATGCCCCGAGACAAAGAGCTAGAGCGAGACCCTCTCCATCCTCTCTTCCAGCCTCTTCCT